AGGGGGCGGTGAGCTTGTTCCTTATATGGGGCGAGGGCAGGGGTGTGTCCAGGGGTCTCGCCGGAGGGGTGGCTGGGGTGGCTTAGGTGCTTTGCCCACCCCTTAGGTGGTGGGGTTTTCTTTATTTTTTTTATTATTTTTTTAATTTATTTATTTTTTATTGGGGTATAGTTGTTAGTTTCTACTGTACAGCAAAGTGGAGTTCCCTGTGCTATACAGCAGGTTCTCAATAGTTATCTGTTTTATACATATTAGTGTGCAGAGGGCATAGGCAGTACCCTGCTTTTACTCCAGGCTCTTCAAAAGTGGCAGTTGGGTTTTTTGGTCTCTTTGTATCTTTTGTCCAGAATTTGTCCCAACTGCGCATGCACACAGTTATTTTTAGTCCCAGACAGTTTCTTTGTATTTTGCTGCTGGAGGAGAGGTGTGCCCAGGTGCAAGCATTGCAGCACTGCAGCAAAGGGGCCCAGGTCCCAGCCTGTCTCACTCTGAATAACTGTATATAACACTTTATTAATGAATGTGAAAATGTCAAAGTTCATATGTCAAAATACCAAAATTGACTTGCAAGGTAGCACACCTGAAAGAACAAAATCTATCTAGGATTTACTAGTAAATTTTATTAACTATCAAGAACCAGCTAATTCATGTGATGAATAAATTGATGGAAGCTTAACAATAGATGGATGGAAGGGGGGCTGAATGTATGACTGGATAAATGGAGAAATAGATGGATGCTTTGGGGCCTGGATATGCAGAATTGGGGATTGGGAAGGGGGTTGAGAATGAGCGGGGAAGAAAGGAGTTTTAAGACTGGATGGAGCTGACGCTTGACCTCCAGCCAAAATGACTTTGGTCCACAACCACCTGGGCTCACAGGAGTCCCTTCTGAAAACCTCAGGTTCGTGTTTTCTGAAGCTAACAGCCCCAGCACACAGGACTAGAGATCCAGCATTCACAGGCTAATCCAGACAGATCAATTAAGACAGCAGAACCAGAGAGGCTGACAATGCCCCAGCCCTCCTAGGGACCTGCTCTTCTCTCCCCAACCCTCTCGTCCCTCCCCAGGAGCCCGCAGGTGCAGTCTCTCCAGGGGGCAGTGAGAGCCATGAATAGTAAGGGTTTTAGCTCAAGCACACAGAGGCGTTTAGCTGCCCAAATCTAATCCCCCAATAATCGGATTATGTAAATTCCTACTTCAACCCCTTCCCCTGCAAGACCTCGCCCCTAAACTCTCCACACTGGGAGACCAGGATGGGAGAGGGCCCATCACGCTGAAGCATCACTGCTAGTGGAATGCTGCACCAAGACGGTTTCCCCCATTTCAAAAATTATAAAACCAACAATAACATGGAAGAAACTTCAGAGAAGAAAACAAATGTCGACCCTGGTTGCACTGTGCCAACACATCTGTGCTCCCTTCTCCACAGTCCTCATCTTTTCCCTCGTCCTGTCCCTCGTCCACTTGTACACAGGTCCTATTTTACACTTACTGTTGCTTACCTTAGCCTCACACATTTCCAGTCTTGCTTCCTAGTTGCTACACTTCATTTTTACAACTGTAGAACGTGCCATTAAGAATATATTACCTCGCAGGCTTTTGGCCGAGAGGAAGGGTAATGTAGGCTCTTGGTTTAAATTCCAACATGCCCTCTATCAGGATTGAGGTACAACAGGTCGGGTGGGAGACCTGGGCACCATGAGGCACCATGAGGCAGCAGTTCCCCTCAGTGGCACACAGAGACAGATGGCAGAAAGGACAAATCAGGGCTGCTCACTGCAAATATTAGAGTATGTTCCCAAAGGCCCCTTTTGTGCCTATGCATAATTGACCCATTCATTCTCTCCAACCCACCCTCTAATCCATCCGCTGACTGCCACCAGAATGAGGCTTTTAACTGTAAATCAAAACAGATCACTCCAATGTTCAAGGCACACAGTTGCCTTCATATGGACTGCCCTCTCCTGCACTCATACGTGTGTAGTTCCTATCCAGCATTTCCCACTTTTGCACCCAGGTGATCGGGGACCCTGCCTTGGATTCTGTGCTTTAGATGGACCTGCTCTGGTCCTCCTCCAATGCCCACCAGGTGCCCATTTCCCACATTCTAGACCACACCCAGGGTATCAGGGACCCCTGAATTTATACCACACTCTGTATATCCAGAACCCCTGCATTTCTGCTCAAGTGGCCCTGAGTCTATTTTCAGAACCTTCACAGGGCTCTTCCTTAGGTCCGTGTGGGCTGGGATTCCACGTCATGTACACAAGACCCTTCACAGAGAAGGGGGTGGGAAAAGAATGGGAATGTGGATAGGTCAGGAGTCTCCATTTGTACCCTTGTCCTGAGCCCCACGTATGTCAGAGGCAGCCCTGCCTCAAGGCCTAGTTTAAATGGCATCCCTCCCACGAGCAATTCCTCCAGCTAGAATCTTTGCCTCCTTAACTCCAATTTCATACTCTCTGGCACTCAGGACTGTCTGTCTTGTATTTAGTCATTTTTGTCATGTCCTCTTCCTCCCAAAGACTGTGAACTCCTTAAAGGCAGATACAGAATTTTCTTCACTTTCCTGTCCTCTGAGAACTAGCAGTTTATGCAACAACTTTTTTATTTATAATAAGAACTGTATGCATTTTTTTTTTGAGGAGGAGGACAAACAACCCCCAAATCTCAGTGGCTTACAACAGCAAAGATTTATTCCTTACTCATGTGATGTGAAGGCTGTGGTTGGCTATGGGTTTGCTTTATGGCTTCCAGGCTGAGAAAGCAACCCCAAACATTACTTTCTCATGACGAAGCCCAACCAGCAATCACTCTTTTTTTTTAAACATCTTTATTAGAGTATAATTGCTTTACAATGTTGTATTAGTTTCTGCTGTATAACAAAGTGAATCAGCTCTATGTATACATATATCCCCATATCCCCTCCCTCTTGCATCTCCCTCCCTCCCACCCTCCCTATCCCACCCCTCTAGGTGGTCACAAAGCACTGAGCTGATCTCCCTTTGCTATGCGGTTGTGGCTGCTTCCCACTAGCTATCTATTTTACATTTGGCTGTTAGAGCTTCTGTTCTATCACCACCATGTCAAGTTTGCTCACATTCCATTGGCTGATGCAAGTCACATGGCCAAGCCTGGAAGGGAGTGAGGAATTGCTCTCCCTTCACCTACAGGGAGGCATTGCCAGTCACATGACAATGGGAGGGGCTATGTAATCCTCTCACAAGGAAGGGAGCCAGTAGTTTTAACAATAATACAATTTACCACAGTAAAATTAATAGTAGTCTGACTGTGTACTAGGTACAGTGCTAAATTTTACAGATGAGGAAATTGAGGTAGGGAGAAGTTACATGATTTACCTAGGGTCACATAAATGGGTACATCAGGGATTTCAACCTGGGTAATGCAAATCCAGAGTCCTTTGCTCTTATCCACTAAGCTTTAATGCATTTGTGAATTTATTGTGCCAAATCCTATGCTGGTACCTTCAGAGAGTGTGATGCCTAGAATTTTGTTACTTACCCATTCATTTATCAACCAACATTTGAAGAATGCCTGTTCACTGGGTTTGAGGAGGAGACAGACAAGATAAATGGGTAAAATATTACTAAATGGGGGTGAGTGCTAAGGAGAAGAATAAAGCAGGGCAGGAGGATGGAGAGTCCTGTGTGTGTGAACGTGCAATTTTAGATACTGTGGTCAGAGAATCCTCATGGAGAAGGTGACATTTGAGCAAAGACCTGAAGAATGTCAGCTCCTTGAGGGCAGAATTTGTGTCTGTTTTGTTTGAAGTTGTATCCCCAGTGCCTATAACAGGCACTGGCCCATAGCAGACACTCAACAATAATTTCTGAATGAATGAAAGGAGGTGAGGGAAGGAACTATTTGGATAACTTGAGGGGGAAGAGTGGCCGTAGAAACAGACAGTGCAAAGGCCCTGAGGCAGGAGGTGCCTGGAGTGTTCCAGAGCTGAGTACACCCCAAGGAGAGAAGGAACACATGGGGTCAGGTAAAATCTAGGAGCCATTGTTAAGACTTCAACTTAACTCTGAGTGAAATGGGGAGCCAGGGGAAGGCTCTGAGTGAGAAGTGACAGGAACCTGACTTGGGTTTTCATAGGATCATTCTGGGTGATGTTGGAGAATGGACGGAAAGAGGAAAGTACAGAATCAGGAAGACCAATGAGGAGGCCCTGAAATACCAAGTCCCCGGGGCACTCTGGAAGCTGGGATGAATAAATCTGGGGATCTGTCCAGTGCAGTGATTGTTAAATTTCTTTGTGCGTCTTCATCTGCTGGGATACTTAGTAAAAACGCAGATTTCGGACCCCATCCCCAGAAAACCAGATATGGTGGTCTGGGTTGTGGATATTGAGATCTGCCTCCCCTCACCCATGATTCTGAAGCAAGTGGTTCTTGAACTACAGTTGGAGACTTACTGGGCCTTAAATGATTGACATCTGATGAGTTCACCACGTGGCATGGACTTTCCGAGGTTTGTAGACGTGGAAGAGGGTGGGTAGGTCACACGCCCGGCTTTGCCGTGGCCGGGTAGGTGGCACGACCCCTTCCGTCCCCAAGCCTTAGGCAAAGCAGGGTTTTCCTTCCGCCTCTGCTCCGTTTCTAGAACACAGGGAGGCTGGTCCTGGGAAGCGGGCGCGCCGTGGGGGGAGGGGGGAGGGAGGGACCTGCGGAGTCCGGGTCAGAAAGGGGCCCCCTGGGTCCCCGAGACAAAGGGCGGTGTCCTATAAAGGCGGCAGCGGAGGCGCGGCGCCCAGGCGAGGGCGACAACTACGGCGCGCGCGGGCTCCTGGATCTTGGAGAGGAGGTGCGTGGACTCCGAGAGGGACGTGGGCACTGCCGTGGCTGGTGGGCCAGCGGGTCTCCGGCGCAGCTCCCCGAGTCCGAGCCGCACTCGCTGCGGAGGGCAGGGGTGTGGAGTTGACTTGGTGGCAGCCACCAAGGCGACTCGGTGAGAGAACCTGGGGGCTTTTCGCGGAGCAGGGGCGGTGGTGCGGCTCCGGGGGAGCCTGGCGGGTCCTCTAGCGCGTGTTGGCGGGGCTGCTGCGCCTTGGTGTCCGATGCCCGGCCACCCCTTGATGTGTCTCCGAGGGCCGCTTAGGCAGCTTCTGCGTCGGGATGAGCGACTCCTGGACACCTGGCAGGTGCGAAACTTTAGCCGAGATGCTTTCCCGGACGCCTGAACTTCATCGCAAGGCAGGTGCTGCCGGCGAAGGGGAGCACAAGTTATACAAAGAAAAAGGGAAAAGCCGGGAATGAAGCGGTCAAGGGCAGCAGGTTGGGCGGGGTGGGCGGCGAGGCGCGGGTGTTGAGTGCGTTTTGGAACAGGTGGCGCTCCCAGTGCGCCGGGAGCGCACCCAAAGACCCGCATTCATAGCAAATGTACTTATTTAGAAGAGTTGTCTACTGAGAAAAGTAATTGCATAATAGTATGTATTCTGATTTTTAAAGGATACATATATTTTATATAAAATATATATATGTGTGTATGTATATATATACACACATATATTATATATACACACACCAAACTGGCTACTGCTGGGGAATGAGTTTGAATAGGTAGATGGATAAGGATGGTCTTTTATTTTTTGCTTTATCACTTGTGTACTGCTTGAATTTTTTTTTCTAAAGTTATCATGTGTTATTTCTATAGTAACTTCAAAAGGCAAAGCTGTGCCTAGTGTTGGAGGTTAGGCACCTTCCCCTAACGAAATTGTATAAACCACTCCTCACTGCCCTCTTTCTGGACAGTGTTTCCGCTTACTTTTAAAAGAAAGATGAAAGAGACAAATACACAGGACCAAAGGCCAGAAAGAGAAATTTAAAGTTTTATGAAAAAAGAGCAGTGTGAGTCTGAATGCCTGGGACAGGCCACCATAGAAATGTTAGCTGTACTTCTGTGCTGCAACCTTTCTAGCTGACCTGGGCTCTGTGTCCAGGAAACACCCACACGAAAAAGCAGCACCTTTTCTGGGGGCATAATTGTTCTTTTCTCCAGTAACCTGTTACCTTCTGTGGTGACAGTATAAGTAGAAGTTTGTGGACACCTATATTCCTATTCAGTTTCCTGTGACATTCCTCCTGTCCAGGCATTCTTAGCCTGGGGCCTATGACACACACCCACTCGGGTGTATGGATAGAATTCAGGCGTTCTATATATTTAGGTGGGAAAAAATTACATCTTTATGTCTACTGACCTTTAGTTTAAATTTAGCTTTTCCTTTATTTATGAATGTGAGTAATAAACTACTTTGGCACTAGTCGTGCTGATGACTTTGTCACCAATAAAAAATCATACTTTCAACTCATGTTGCAGATCTTCTGAACAAATCATTTAAGTATCACTACTTAGAAATGATGGTAACAAATCTGTTTAATGTGTTAAGAGTGAAGCACAGGTATTACTGTCTTGCTTTTTAGAATTATTTTAATACCTATGAAGTATAATTGGTTATTTTATGTGTCTATTTTAATTCATACATTTAAAACTCTTATTCTGAGAAGGGAACCAAAGGCTTTTTCCTTCATGTATTTGAAATCATTGTTCTGAGATGAAATCCGTCCCTAGGCTTCCCCAGACTGCCAAAAAGGTCCATGGCACAAAAAAGGTTATGGACCCTGACTCAGCAGGAGTCAGTGGTGACATAGATGCATAAATACTCAGGCTTGGGACACAGGCTCTGCCACACAGGGATGTGTGACTTGGGACAAAAAAACTTCACGCCTGTTTCAACATCTGTCAGATGTTCTCTGATTCTGTGGCATCTGGGGTACTTTTTAAGTTCTTAAATTACTCTGAATCAAGATTAGCAGCCATCAGTCCTTGCAACAGGAAAAACACTAAATGCCACTTTCCTTTGATTTAATAAGTCCTTAGCAATTTTCCAGTGACCTCTACTTTGAGTTTTTCCAGCTTGTTAAATCACTGATTTCTGTTTCCCCCATGGAGAAGGAGAGTAACACACTTGAGGATAAGTCAACAGGTAATTATTAAGCACGTCCTGGGATGGCAAGGCTACGTTTCAGAAGCCTTCTCTTCTCCCCATTTCCTCTGTCTGCTTCTCACAATAGGATGGAGCCCTCTCAGAAGAGAACACCAGTTAGTTTATCCTGCCTAATCTTTTCTTCCCAGCTTGAAAAAGAGCCCCCGTGGGACTAGTGAATGAGCTAAAGCCTCTTTTGACAAGAGAAGCTTAAAAGTGACTTTGCTTCCACAGTCCTGGCTGCAAAGCAACCAGCCTTGGTGTGAGCAAAACTGAATAGTTTTTTAAATCCCCTTGATTTAGGTTCAAACCTTCATATTTTAGGTATAGTTGGATACAGGTCTGACAAAGCTCATATTTTCATTGTAGATCCAAAGGCTAGGTTATTTAGAAATAACTTAGGTAGATAAAAGGCAAGGGCAGGGCATTGTGGCATTTCAGCATAGAAAGAGGCCTTGGGAATCACCCCGTTCAGTTTGAAAGCCCCCTAGAATGCCTGAGTTAGGTGCTGTTTCTCTGCTCCTATAGCCCCTGTGCTTCCCTCTCTGTGTCCCAGGGCAGTGGGCTCCTCAGTGTCCAGCAGTGAGCACAGTGTCTGGCACGTAGGGTCAGTAAGTGTTGATAGTGAAGCTTAGAGCGCATGTGACTGTCATGGGTCCAACTAGGAGTGTCTCCACAGAGAGAGGAAATAGACTTAAGTGGCTTATGGAGGGAGCCTGAGGCCAGCTGGTGAACTTGAGCCGCTATGATTCTGCTCACCACTGGCTTCTCAGCACAGCACTGGCCTCTCCAACCCAGGCAGAAGCAGGAAAGGCATCAAGAACCTGCATGGGGAAATGTCCTGGGGGGCATATATCCTTGTAGCTTATTTTATACATAATAGTTTGTACCTCTTAATCCCCTAGATACTGCTCCCTTCTCAAACACAGTTTTGCTAGGTCTCAGGGCTCCTGTTTGGAGAGTAGAGCAGTGCTCTCAGCATTGGGTACACGCGGAGATCACACAGGGGTGCGCCGCCTGGATCTCACTTCAGGAAGAAACTTGCAGTTCAGCTGCAGGCAGTGCAGTTAGCTGACAGCCTTCAGTGGCAGTGCCCTCAGGATGGGGCCTCCGTTCTTCCGGCAGCCCCCGGCCTACGAGTGAGCGTGGCAGCGCTGCCAGGATCTGGTGATTTCTGCCCAGTGGGGTCTCCTCTACAGTCACTCTTTGCCCTAGAGCTCCCTGTTGGGTTGACTGCCATTTTTCCAGGTCTGCGTCACAGCCCACCCTTTTGTACCACATGTGCCAATTTTTAACCCTCCAACTCCTTCCTGCAACGTGGGCTGTTAACACAAACAACAGGTGTGGAAGGAAACTGGCACTCTGAGCGGCACCTACCAAGTGCCTGACATTCTACGTGGCGCTTTATATAACTTTTCTCAGATATTTGGGATGTTTACCAACAAACTCATGTCCTCAGGAAAGCCCAAATAAAACTAGGAGATTGGGATTGACATATATCCACTAATATGTATAAAATAGATAACTAATAAGAACCTGCTGTATAAAAACATACATAAAATAAAATTCAAAAAAAGAAATAGAAAAAAGGTAGAACTTAGGGAAAAGCTCAATGGCATTGACCCAATCATTTTGGTCTTGACATGGTTCTTTTACACCTTTCTCTAGTCAGCAAGTGTAGCTCTGGACTTAGCCCTTGGTGTGTGGGACCTTCTGCTGTAATTTTTAAGTGCTTATGTATGTGTTGCCTCCTCCACCAGACCATCCAATAAGCTCCTTGAGCACCAGTACCCAGTCCAACCATGTCCACAAACCCATGGAACAGAACAGGTCTACAGGAAGGGTTAAAATAAAGCAGCAAAGGCAGCAAGAGCCAAGAGATTACAGTAGAGGCTTGGTTACAGGAAAACAAGATATCACCCCCCAGGAATATTCAGTACCTCACAAGTCATTTTTATTTATAAATATATTTATTATTTTGTTGTATTTATTCCCCAACACTTTTATAGACATTACTATGTGTCAGGCACTGTTATAGTGATTTACAAATATTAACTTATTTAATTCTCCTAATAGCCTTTGTCTTCCACCAGTGGCTGTGGGCATGGGGGGCTCTGCGATGGCCTGGAAGCCTTTATAGGAATGAAAAGGAGGATTGGATCTGCTCTTTAAAGAATGTGTAGACATAGGCAAGAAGACAGCGAGGAGGGAATTCAAGGGACAGAAGATGGCATGTGTGAAGGTGTGGAGTTAGGAATATTTACTACGCTGTGTGGGCACAGGAAGGGGCCCTCTGCCCAGGTTGCTGAGGCTGGAGCAGGTGGCAAACCGATAGCCATAAACCAAGAGCACCAAACGTTGGGTGCTGGGCTGTGGCTCGTTTGCTGACGCGTCATAAAGGTTCCCATTAACGTAGATTAATCCAAGCCACCTGAACAAAGCGGCCTATGCCTCTAAATGTTAAAAAGGGCACAATTAAGAATTGGCAATATGCGATAATAATCACCTCTCCCAGGGTTGGAAAGGTCATCCAAATTCAACCTTGGAAAGCCTGGGTATCTTCCTCAGCATCCACGCCAAATCGTCACACACACACACACCCCCGCCCCTTTTCTTCTTTTGTCACGCTAAACAACCCCGCTTCTGCTCCTCACGCAGCCGGGTTTCAAGGCTCTTCATCACCCTGTTCATCCCCCTCTAAATGTGGTCCAGTCTAGATATTTTAGCTCTTACACAGCGGGCCCAATCCTGCAGACGAGGTCGGCCAGCTAAGAGGAGAGTTGTGCTGTCACCTTCTTCACTCCAAACAGTATCTCGTTAATGAAACCTAGGATCTCAGCACCCCGCTTTTTAAAGAATCTATATTCAAATCTCTGTTAGCAAATATATGTTTTATTCACACACGTACCCAATCCTACACTGTGCCTGATTCTGAACAATTAGGAAGAGTTGGTTATAAAAGTAGTAATAGGGGTATTAAGATAAAACCACATTTTAACTGGAGGCTTCAAAACACACAGGGAGAGAAACGCTGAAGGAAGGTGTTCTTATCCTGCCCTTTCTTCTGCCATGTTTTCTTCCCTTGTCAAAGGAAGATTCAAAGCACCTGGAAATGAGGCAGTGCATTTCCTAAGATCTGAGTGGAGAAGACTAACATCTCAAGTTCCTGGCAGGACATGTGCTACCCAGCAGGCCTCTGACAAGGTATTGGCCCTCAGGGCCCTTTCTCTTTCTCGTCTCAGGAGCTCCAACATGACCAGAAAGATCTTCACAAACACCAGGGAGCGGTGGAGGCAGCAGAACGTCAACAGTGCCTTTGCCAAGCTGAGGAAGCTCATCCCCACTCACCCTCCCGACAAGAAGCTGAGCAAAAACGAAACGCTTCGCCTGGCGATGAGGTACATCAACTTCCTGGTGAAGGTCTTGGGGGAGCAAAGCCTACAGCAAACGGGAGTGGCTACTCCAGGAAATATTCTGGGCCTCTTCCCCCAAGGACCCCACCTGCCGGACAGGACTCTCCTTGGTGATTACCAGGTTCCATCATCCGGCCCAAGCCACCACATTCCATAGTGGGGCTCTGGCTGTCGTCACCCCAGGCAGCACTGGTTCAGAAGTAACTAGCTTATCGACAGCCTTTTGCATGTTCCAGAGTCAACCTGATGAATAATTTGTGAGGCATGAATTTAAGCTTCATAGGAGGTGGCTCAGGGTCGGCTTCAGGATGCTGAAAGGGACCATGAGGAACGTGGCTTGGGCATCTGTCACCCCCCACCCCCAGGGCTTCAGTCAGATCACCCTGTCTCTGTCTATGTTATAAATCTGGGTTCTGCATAAGATGTTGTTTGAAAAAAAAAAAAAAAAAAAGACCCTTAGGTTAAAAACTGGTTTGAAAATCACTGTTTTACTCCGTATGTTTTCAGTTATAAGAAAGTTTTCTCAAAATGGATCTCAGATGGATGAGTAGAAAATGCTTCCCTCCGAACATATTTTAAAGTTTGTTTTGAAAAATGAGGCATATTTGATCAAGGGTGAACAATGTAAGACAAATGAAAAGATAGCCCTTGCAGAAACCAACCTGGAGACTTGCAGGAACACCTGTGAAGAAAAGACCCTCCTGACATGTGAGGACCACAGGAAGGCAGCAGATACCTGTGGAAGAGCTCTGCATCCTTTATCTCTATGGACATGTGAGGTGTCACTTGCATAGGGCTGTGTATGTATATGTTATCTCTAAAGCCAAATGGTGGATTATACCTGTGAGAGGAAAGGACTCGATAATTTACGAGAGTTCATAGTTTTCTTATGAAAACCAGCTAGCTAAAATAGGTTTTCTAACCCCTTAGTTTCCCATGTCAGGTATCAAAACTTTTAATTTAGCCTGAGTTTCTGCTGACTTAAGACCTGTAAAATTCAAATATAATGATGAAAATCTAAATATTACCATTTAATAGAGAGCTTAACAAAAGATTTAGAGTAGACAGTAGGAATGTTAATACCAGACTCTAATGAGTTAATGAACATGTGATTTGTTTTCCCTGCTATGGAGCATTAGCTCAATCTTACGCTGGGAGAGGTGGTACCCACAATGAGTGAAACAGCGTGGATCTGGCAGAACTCACCCCCTTGTGCCACCCTGATGATGCTTAGATTCAAAAATGAATCCCATAGTTGAGCCCAGAATACAAGTAATGTCATTTGATTGTCTATGGGACATTTTATTTCCCCAGTCTTCTTGGTGGTACATTGGTTTTAAAACCGTCTGAACTACAGGTAGGAAATAGATGGATTTGAGATCATGTATACACAGTAGAGAAATTTAAATGTTCTGCCACTCTAGAAAGAAGGTATTTGATTTATGAAAGGCTGAAATGAGCCTCTTTGGTTTGGTGCTTAGAAGAAATCTGGATGAGATGCCCTCAAAATCTCATTCTCCCAAAATAGCAAGGTCATAATGTCTTTAAACTCTACACAGCGTTGACACTTGTAGAACAACACATTTATCAGAAACAATGCATTTTCCATGTAGGTCCTTTCTTTAAACTGCATTCAATAAATGTCCCCACAGACCCAGAATAGTCCTGGGAAACACATAAGCACACAGACCAGGGGATTTCCCCTGAATTTGCATTTCTTTCTCATGAACTTATGTGGACTTAAATTTGTCCCCAAACTACCAGGTGATAGTACATCTCAAAGCTTTGATGACAGTTTGTCAATTGAGTAATGTTGCTTACTCTCTCATCTGTCATTAACTCAAAGTAACATTTTTGACAGCATTTTTATATTAGCCTCATGTTGCTGAGGAAGGCAGAGAAGACTCTTTGCCTGAACACGGGATTTTACTGCTCTTCTCAGAATGAGTGCACTTCTCTGCTGCTGGGGCCATGTCTGTTGTGCACAGAAGGCCTTTCCACTGAAAAGTAACCGAGTACCGCCAAAAAGTCGTGAGGAGATTGAGTATCATTAAACTAAATGAGGGAACAGTTATTTAAAGAAACCCTATAGGAAATTCCTACGATAAATGAATAAGCATTTAAAATATTACTTAAGGTAATTCATCTCTTAAATGATTTCTTTTGCAAGTTGGATTTTGGCCTATCAAGTTGTGTTAGGTTAAAGTGACTGTCAAAAGGAATTGTAGTTATATGGACCAAAACCTTGCCAAGGTATCTGTGAGACTGGAAGCTAATTCTAAAATCACTCCACAGCCTTCCTTGGTGTCCTGTACTTACGGCTTGGTGATTGCAGTAGTAAGACTTTATGGTTCAAATGAATTCTAGTTCACTGATGGTACATCTCTTTATGGGCCATTTGCACCCAAAAGAAAACTTTAGACAGATTATATCATTTATGCTACTCTGTTACTTGAAAACAAGTGTTTGTTCCACTATGGGCACCACTGGAAACTTCCGGAAGCCAAGTATAAACAGGCCCATTTATTATACAGATCATTAGATTGGCTAATTCTACTCCTCCTTTTACAGAGGAGAAAACAGTCCAGAGGGTTTTGAAGTAACTTTCCAGAGGTCACATGGACAGTTAGTGCAGCCCAGACATAGTGTGAGATCTTCTGAGCCAGCACGTCCAGCCTGTCTACAGCCCTGTTCAGCCACTAAGGATTTTAGGATTGAAAATGGCCAAGCACCTCATTATTAGACTCATCTCTTTTCAATAGTGTTCAGTGATCTTCATATGCCTTTTAATTGAAATTGAATTATTGTGCTTTGTAGAATGTGATTAGAGGTACCAACCAAAGATTTTATTTGGTGATGTGTTTTGTGAGTTTGTAATCATTGATTCTAAATTGCTATTTAACTATTAACTTATTGAAAATAAATTATTTAAGAAAAGAAATTGTTTTTTTTTTTAGAAAGTATTTCACAAATTTACTAAGCACATCCACCCATTCTGTCCATCCTTTGAACCCCACTCCCCCTGTTATCTTGAGTCTAAAAAGAAAATCTAGGGCTTCCCTGGTGGTGCAGTGGTTAAGAATCTGCCTGCCAATGCAAGGGACACGGGTTCGAGCCCTGGCCCGGGAAGATCCCACATGCCGCGGAGCAACTAAGCCCGTGCACCACAACTACTGAGCCTGAGCTCTAGAGCCCGCAAGCCACAACTACTGAGTCCACATGCCACAACTACTGAAGCCTGTGCACTGCAACAAGAGAAGCCACCACAGTGAGAAGCCTGCACACTGCAACGGAGAGTAGCCCCCACTCATTGCAACTAGAGAAAGCCCACGCACAGCAATGAAGACCCAACACAGCCAAAAATAAACACATTTATTATTTTTAAAAAATATCTAGCATCCCCTAATTAGTCCCTCCCTTCACTTCATCTTTCACACAGCTTCCTAACTGTCCTTCTCAAATCACAGCTATGGTCAGGTCGTCCCCTGCTATCAAACCTTTAGTGTCTTGTCCACCAGACTGAGACAGATGCCATACCCCAGCAAACCAAGCCCTCTGCAGCCTGGCTCAATGTACTATTCCCTTTACTTTCCACAATTGCCTAAATATTTTATACCTGCTAATGAAACCACTTCACTTGGTGGTCCAACAGGCCAAACTCTAATACCTCTGACTTTACTCTTGTGAGTCCATCTGCTTGCACTAAATTCCACTTGCTAAAATCCTTCATGACTGATCTTAAATACCACTCCTTCAGGAAGCTTGACTCATCTTAAACACCACCTTACACGAAGTCCTCCTAGATTTCCACCACTCAGTCTAATTTCTCCTTTTGTAGAATCCTCTTATATGCTTCAAGACCCTTACTTCCTCTCCCCTGTGTTATATACATCTTGTGCATATTCTGTCCCCAGCAACAAGTTAAGATCTCCTTGAGGGCAGTGACAGTTTATAACATTGAGTCTTCACAACAGCCCTGCCAGTGACCTCACTTTTAAAATGAGAAAACTATACCGAGACTAGCTCCATTAAGAATACTCCTCTAGCCTCCCCTGAAAGACCACACTGAAATGCAACTTGAACAGGCTGAATTTTCGTGAGAAATCCCAAGTCTAAAGCTCTTCTTTTTTTTTTTCTTAATTTTTATTGGAGTATAGTTGATTTACAATGTTGTGTTAGTTTCAGGTGTACAGCAAAGTGAATCAGTTATACGTATACATATATCCACTCTTTTAGATTCTTTTCCCATCTGGGCCATTACAGAGCATTGAGTAGAGTTTCCTGTGCTATACAGTAGGTCCTCATCAGTTATTTATTTTATATATAGTAGTGTGTATGTGTCTATCCCTAAAGCTCTTCTTAAAAGTTTGTTTCTCAAAATATCCATTCACCAAGTCTCTTGCAGCACCTGCCTGATGAGGTTTCACCAGCTAAGAATGGCTTGAGATGACCCAAATGTGTATAAGTTACGCACAACAGGCTTTGTCCTTAAAAGGCCAAAGGATGAAAGGGGTCAGGAGAATGGACAGCTTAACTGCTGACCTGCAGGCCAAAGATTAGCTAAAAGTCATATCCTTAAATAAAAAGGTCAAAGATAAGGAGGGAATCTAAAAGCTTAATGGCAATGCAAAGTGGGGGATTTAAAGTGGCAGGTGTTAGGAAGGAATGCCAAGGGGAGAGTGTGGTTCACGATTATAAGAAGCCAGGGCATGGGCTCCTAAACACACCCTCCCTTCTATGACTATTGGAGTTTACTATAAACAGGGAAATTTCTGTTCTATTTTCTCTTTATTGCTAATGACCTATCATTAGCATTAAAAATCACTAGGTTTAAAAGATTTTTAATCTAGATTTTAAAAAGCACTAGATTTTTACATAAACCTTAGTTAGGTTTGTAATCTACCAAATAATGTTTACTCTAAGAATTTAATTTCCAGAGCTCAAGGGGGTAGTCGAATGAGACAAGCTGTAGACTTGCCTTTTCTGGATAATTTTAAAAATCAGGGTTATCCAATATGTTCATACACTTGGACCTTAGTAACTCTCCTTCGAGGAAGCTATCATAAAGAAATAATCAGAATTATGGTCAAAGGATTATATATATGGGTATCTATTTCAGAATTGTTTACAATACAATGTAAGTAAAAATAAAGTAAATTTATGGTAATAAAAGTCAGAGCCAAGATTTGCTGAGTGCTTACGATATGTCAGGCACTGTGACAAGAGCTTCCTGCATATCAGCTCACCTAATCTTCATAACAATATTATATTACTAATATAATATCAATTATATGTATTGTTCTCACTTCACAGATGATGAAACTGAAATTTAGGAGATTTTTTTTTTAATGGGTGAATTAAAAAAATTTTTTTTAATTTTATATTGGAGTATATTTGATTAATAATGTTCTGTTAGTTTCAGGTGTACAGCAAAGTGATTCAGTTATACATGGACATGTATCTATTCTTTTTCAAATTCTTCTCCCATTTAGGTTATTTCAGAGAACTGAGTAGAGTTCCCTGTGCTATACAGTAGGTCCTTGTTGGTTATCTATTTTAAATATAGCAGTGTGTACATGTCAATCCCAAACTCCCAATCCATCCCTTCTCGCTCCCCCCTTCCCCCTGGTAACCATAAGTTCGTTCTCCAAGTCTGTGAGTCTGTTTCTGTTTTGTAAATAAGTTCATTTGTATCATTTTTTTTTAAGATTCCACATATAAGCAATATCATATGATATTTGTCTTTGTCTGGCTTACTTCACTTAATATGATCATCTCTATGTCCATCCATGTTGCTGCAAATGGCATTGTTTTATTCTTTTTAATGGCTGAGTAATATTCCATTGTATATATGTACCACATCTCCTTTATCCATTTATCTGTTGATGGACATTTAGGTTGCTTCCATGTCTTGGTTATTGTAAACAGTGCTGCAACGAACATTGGGGTGCATGTATCCTCTCAAACTGTGTTTTTCTCAGAATATATGCCCAGGAGTGGGATTGTTGGATCATATGGTAGCTCTATTTTTAGTTTCTTAAGGAACCTCCATGTTGTTCTCCATAGTGGCTATACCAATTTACATTCCCATCAACAGGGTAGGAGTGTTCCCTTTTCTCCACACCCTCTCCAGCACTTATTTTTTTGTAGATTTTTTGATGATGGCCATTCTGACTGGTGTGAGGTGATATCTCATTGCAATCTTGATTTGCATTTCTCTAAAAATTAGCAATGTGGAGCATTTTTTCATGTGCCTGTTGGCCGTCTATATGCCTTCTTTGGAGAAATGTCTATTTAGGTCTTCTGCCCATTTTTTGATTGGGTTGTTTGCTTTTTTGATTTTGAGCTACATGAGCTGTTTGTAAATTTTGGAGATTAATCTCTTGTCGGTCACATTGTTTGCAAATATTTTGTCCCACACTGTGGGTTGTCATTTTGTTTTGTTTATGGTTTCCTTTGCTGTGCTTTTGAGTTTAATTAGTTGCCATTTGTTTACTTTTGTTTTTATTTCCATTACTCTAGGAGATGGCTCGGAAAAGATATTGCTGAGATTTATGTCAAAGAGTGTTCTGCCTATGTTTTCCTCTAAGAGTTTTATAGTATCTGGTCTTACATTTAGGTCTTTAACCTATTTTGAGTTTATTTTTGTGTATAGTGTTAAAGAATGTTCTAATTTCATTTGTTTTACATGTAGCTGTCCAGTTTTCCCAGCAGCATTTATTGAAGAGACTGTCTTTGTCTTTTCTCCATTGTATAACCTTGCCTCCTTTGTAGTAAATTAATTGACCATAGGCACATGTCTGGGCTTTCTATCCTGTTCCATTGATCTATATTTCTGTTTTTGTGCCAGTGCCATACTGTTTTGATTACTGTAGCTTTGTAGTATAGTCTGAAGTCAGGGAGCCTGATTCCTACAGCTATGTTTTTCTTTCTCAAGATTGCTTTGGCTATTCAGGGTCTTTTGTGTCTCCATATAAATTTTAAGATTTTTTGTTCTGGTTCTGTGAAAAATACCATTGGTAGTTTGACAGGGATTGCATTGAATCTGTAGACTGCCTTGGGTAGTATAGTCATTTTGACAATATTGAGTCTCCCAATCCAAGAACATGGTATATCTTTCCATCTGTTTGTGTAATCTTCGATTTCTTTCATCAGCGTCTTATGGTTTTTATAGTACAGGTCTTTTGTCTCCTTAGGTAGCTTTATTCCTAGGTGTTTTATTCTCTTTGATGCGATGGTAAATGGGATTGTTTCTTTAATTTCTCTTTAGGAGATTATTTAACTTGCCCAAGTTTCCACTGTTGGAGCCAGAATTCAACCCTTGTCATTTTTACTCAAAATCACTGCTTTACACAGACATTTTTTTTTTTTCCATCAGAGTTCTTGATTCTTTTTGAGCCTAACTACCTTAATAGACCCTCACAGACCAGGCATATTATCCAATAACATTATTGGGTAAACAAACACAACTCCAAAAAAACCAAGCTTCCTGTTCAGAAGCACCAGGCTGGGGGTAATACAATAAGTCCCCGGCAGGTAGACTGTTCTATAGAGGCAGGATTGAATGTGAGCCCACAGTGCCACTGGACTGTGCCACAGTCTGGACTTGATGGGGTGCCAACATGAGCTGGCTTCATCTTTTCTCAGTCACTGTGGCAAACTAAAGAATGTCGCTCACCATCTAGTTCTACAAGAATGAAGTCACTAGCCATGGCAGTCACTGACCTTTAATACACCCTGAAAGGAGTTCAGCGTGGAGATCAGGAATGAGGCACTGTGTGCTTTGGTAAGAACTGGGAGAACAGGCCTTCAGATAGTTCGATATTTTCAGGAGAAAATTTTATGGACCCAATTTCTTTCATTTTCTTTTACCTAGAAAAGCACTAAAATCATTAATGGAGACATATGCTTAGCCCAGCA